GCGAGGAGGGGTGGTATGGCAGAAGAAACCTTCCTGGAAGTGTTTTCCATGTTGAAACTTGAGGGATGAGGACAGGTGGAGGCTGGAGGGGCAGGAATGTCCCCTGTAAGGGGAAGAGCATGGCCAAAACCCAAGGTGTAGAGGTCATGGCCCGTTTAAGGAAGTGAAAGTAATTCCTGGCCTAGATTCCAAGGGCTTTGGGGGAATGTGAGTCATGAGGCTAGAGAGGTAAATGGGGACCAGAGCCTGTGCTGTGGCACTGACTTCATTTTGAGGGCAATGAGGAGCCATGAAAACCTTTGATGTCATGGAGTGACATGATCAGTTGTGCATTGTCTTCAAGTCACCTTGGCTACATGGCAGGGAATGGATCAGAGGGAGTCCAGATTAGACAGGCTGGGAGAGTAGTTAGGCGGCTATTGTTATAATCCAGGTAGGAGCTGATGGGGACCTGAGTGAAGTAGATGGCAGTGACAGATGTGAAAGGATTCTAGAGCTCCCAGGAGACAGGAGTGATAGGACTTGGAGGGTGATTGGATGTGAGGGATGAGTTGCAGAGGCAGGACAGTAAGATGCACCTTAGCCACTGGCTTGGATGGTTGGGATCAGGGAGGTGGTGCCCACATAGAGAGTGAGCCCAGAGGAGGAGCAAGTTCAGTGTGGGGAGCCCTTTGAGGAGACTGGAGTGATAAGACTAGAGCGTATGCAGTGTACTTGTCCAGTAGAGTAGCCCTGAGGTTATGAAGAGGCCCTGGGGATACCAAGCTGACATTTGACTAAGCTTATCACACCAGGAATTCATGGGAAAGAATCTGCCAATGTAGGTCAGACACTGCCTCCATGCCTCCATCCCTAAGCCCTGTTGGCAAGGCGGCATCATGATGCTCTGGGGCGATACACTTAAAAAAACAAGGTTTACCGAAATTGTTAGATTTAGGGGTTGGTGGTTAGCTGAACAGAGAAATAGAGATGTAAAGTGGTGATTGGATGCAGAAAAGAGAGAGAGAGGAGAAATGGACAGTTTTAGAAATTCTTTCCAGAAACAGTTGGGGATGAAAAGCCAGTGTCTGAGGTTGGTTCCTGAAGGATGTCTTGCCTGACTCACTTTCCTTCCTCGCAGCGCCGGTTTCTGTTTCCCTTCTTTGACTCAGCCTATCAGGGCTTTGCATCTGGAAGCCTAGAGAAAGATGCCTGGGCCATTCGCTATTTTGTGTCTGAAGGATTCGAGCTCTTCTGTGCCCAGTCCTTCTCCAAAAACTTTGGGCTCTACAGTGAGTGCTCTCCTGACTTGCAGCCCCACCCTCCACCCCTGCCCCGATCAGGGCCACCAAGGCTAATTCTCATCTCTGTCTCCAGATGAGCGTGTGGGGAACCTGACCGTGGTTGCAAAAGAACCTGATAGCATGCAGCGGGTCCTTTCCCAGATGGAGAAGATTGTGCGAATCACTTGGTCCAATCCCCCTGCTCAGGGAGCACGGATCGTGGCCACTACCCTCTCTAACCCCGAGCTCTTTAAGGAATGGTAAGGGACTCAACCTGATGGGCAAGGGGTCGCAGAACAGTAAGTGCCCCATTACATTTAACTGTCTCTTCCTCTTATTTTAGCGGAGGCAAGACAAAATTACTTCAGCCTCTTTGAATCTCAGATATTTCTATGAAATAGGGCTGCCACCTACTCTCACGGGCATAACACAACACTTGTGCCTCACAAGCACTGGGAACATAGGAAGGGACACTCGAATAAATGCAAGTTTCCCCCACTCTCTCACCATCTAGGCTTTGTCCCCTTAAAGTGGGGAAACAGGAAGGAATTCCTGATAGGATAGAATATCCAACTTCAAGTTAGTGTGACAATTTGGGGGCCCTTCATTCTTAACGTTACATATATTTTATCTTATTTGAAACAGTAATTTTTATATAGTAGCTAAATCTGCAATCTCTATTTAATGAGTCCTGATAAAATATATCATTCTGTCTAGATCAGCACCTAGGTGAAGTCTGAGTTAAAACATTGGTGGTATTACAGCTATTATACCCAAGACTAGAACTGAGCTCCATCAGTGAATATATTCCATTCCTTCTGCCTCGTAACCGTATCTCTTTGGCCTGTATATCCCCCATCCAGGCACCCACATACCATAATAGGCAGGTGGTAGTCCCATTTTCAGCTTATAGATTGAATTGTGGTTTTTAAACATCTGTGTTTTCATGTATTATCTCTCCAATCTGTATTGGTATTTATGTTACTGTCCACTCAGGAAAGGTAATGTGAAGACAATGGCTGACCGGATTCTGACCATGAGATCTGAACTCAGGGCACGATTAGAGGCCCTCAAGACCCCTGGAACCTGGAACCACATCACTGAGCAAATTGGAATGTTCAGCTTCACAGGGTTGAACAGTAAGTGCTCCCCACCCCCAAATGCTCACTATTGGAACCAGCACTCCTCTCAGTCAGTGTCCTTGGACTTGGCTCCATTAACTGTTGCCTAATTGGTCATAGAGAACTGAGAACTTTAGACCAGAACAAGTTAGGTTTTCTCAGTGTGTCCCATCCATCTCTTGAACTCCCTGGGTCTCAGAAGAGCATGATTGTGGTCTGTTCTGTGTCCCATAACGAAGATATTTTCATTTTTGTGGGCTGGGAAGTGGCTCAGAGCCAGCTGGGACGTAACAGGGTTTATGGCTTGGAGCCTTGATTTATGAAAGTCTGTTATAAATGCTTAAGTACCCTTTGGCTCTTCCTTAGTCCTAAATATGATTATTACATATGATTATTCAGGGACCTAATTTTTCTTTTTACTTTTTTTATTGACTTTTTTTTAGAGAGAGAGGAAGGGAGTGAGAGAGGTAGAAAGAAACATTGATGTGAGAAACATCAGTCAGTTGCCTCCTGTATGTGCCTTGACTGGGGATTGAACCTGCAATCTTTTTGGTGCAGGCTAACCCCCCAGCCAACTGAGCCACCTGGCTGGGCAGGGACATAATTTCTTAACCGGTCTTTCCTAGTCTCTTAAGCATTGCCCTCAAAAAAGAGGTTACAAAGTTACCTTTCCATGTCATAAATAAAAACTTAGATTGGTAGTTGGAATTAAAAGATGATCGAATGTCCAGTGGGTAGCCTTGAATGATCTTGGTCAGCCGTCAGTAGGGCCTATTTGCAATTGGCTGTCCCTTCCAGTGACAGAGGGATCATTCATTTAATAAGTTATTCCCAAGCACCCACTGGCCAGGCCATATGTTGCAGACATGGCCACTCACCTGCATGTGGAACTTGTGTGCCTGGCTTGGTAGTAATTGGGACATCAAAGGTCCTGGAAGTTACTATAAACCAGGGCCACCAGAATGCCATCTCTCTCTCTCTCTCCCTCTTCCTAAATCAATTTTTAAAAAGATGAACTGAGTTAATATAAAGTGCTTAGAACTCTGGCTGGCACAGTGTTTGCTCCTTTGATTATTATGATTTTGTTACCATCTTAGTTTGGGCTGCTATAACAAAATACAGACTGGGTGGCTTAAACAACAGAAATGTATTTCTCACAGCTCTGGAGGCTGGGAAGTCTGAGGTCAGGGTGCCAGCATGGTCAGGGCCTCGTGGGGGTTCTCTGCTTGGCCTGCTGGTGGCTGTGTTCTTGCTTCATGCTCACATAATGGTGAGAGAGCACGCTCTCTTTAGTCTCTCATGAGGGCACTACTCCCATTATGGGGCTCCACCCTCATGGCCTCATTGAACCTAATCACCTGCCAAAGGCTCCACCTCCCAATACCATCTCATTGGGATTAGGGTTTCCACCTGCATTTTGGAGTGACACAAACATTCAATCCATAACAATTATTATCCCATTCCCTCAAATGATGGTGTCTTAAGGGTACAAACTAGACAACAATCGGTTGAAATTCTCTCATGGCCTTGCAACAAAGCAAAAAAGCTCTAGAGAGCCCTAACCGGTTTGGCTCAGCGGATAGAGCATCGGCGTGCAGACTGAAAGGTCCCAGGTTCGATTCCGGTCAAGGGCATGTACCTTGGTTGCAGGCACATCCCCAGTGGGAGGTGTGCAGGAGGCAGCTGATCGATGTTTCTCTCTCATCGATGTTTCTAACTTTCTATCCTTCTCCCTTCCTCTCTGTAAAAAATCAATAAAATATATTTAAAAAAAAAAAAGCTCTAGAGATTGTGGCATAAAGGAAGTACAGGCAGTCCCTACCTGCTCTATCCATGAGAAGTTCTGCAAACACATGGGAAAGTGCTCCTGTTTATGTTTGAATGAGAGAGCTAAGACATGTCAGATCAGAGAGGTGTCTGCAGGTTTCCAGCCCGTTGGTTCATGCACACAACATTTATCCAGCTCCTCTCATGCATGGGGCCTTGTACAATGTACTGTGAAAATGAAATGTCCAAGGGAGGTTGCTTCTAGGTGCTCAGGGATAAGCAAATTCAGGTTAAGGAAGAGACGAAGGAAGCACTTCATAACCAGTTTTTCTTATCAATGGAATGTTCTGAAGTCTGAGGGTTGTTTCAGTTGATAGCATGTCCTGTGAATGGGATGTGCAAGGTTTGGTTGGGAGGTAGTCCCAGATTAAAATTCCCATGAGGAGGAGCGCTATTAAACTTCTTGGGGATTAGAAAGTCAGCTAATACGACTAGTTTTCAGAATCGATTGAGGATTTTTCCCTGTGTACAATTGGACAAAATAGCTCCTTTGGTTTTTCTTCTCTGTATTACGAGGCAAAGAAGGAAAACTAAAATTGTCATGGAGTTGCTGAGGCTTAAAGGATTCCTACTACTCTGATTATATCTCTTTTTGTTTTCAACAGCCAAGCAAGTTGAATATCTGGTCAGTGAAAAGCACATCTATCTGCTGCCAAGTGGTCGGATCAACATGTGTGGCTTAACCACCAAAAACCTAGATTATGTGGCCACCTCCATCCATGAAGCAGTCACCAAAATCAAGTAAAGAGGTACCACTGAAACCAGCACCACCAAAGCGGCCCTTTGTCGAGTGTGTCCCCTGCCTGCACAAGTCTAGTTGTATACATCATGGATCAGACTATTGCAAGACCAAAAGGCTGCTCTGGTGAGGTTGGCCCCGCTTGAAGAGAACATCCCTTGAAAAGAGATGCGGGCCTGGGTTAGAGCCTTTCTGAAGGCCAGAGCAAATTAAGCTTTCTGTTTAAGAAGAATAAAACGGTACTTTGATCATGAGCTGTAGATATCTTGCTCCCTTGCTAGAAGCAAGAGTCTTGCCTGTGTCACTTGTGTTCTTCTATGTGTTGCTTGACTCTGTACAAAGTCTAGTCCCAAAGATCAAGTTGTCTGAAGAGCCATGTGTAATTGTGGGTGTTGGCTGTCAGTAAAACTCATCACCTCTACCCAGAGTGTCTGTGTCCCTGCTCTTTCTGCATGGTTGTGTCCCTAGCCCTAAGCTTTAGTTCTTTAGGGCAGCCAAGGTACAAAATATATTTACATCACATGCACACAGTTAACTAAAAGTTTCACAAACAGTATATACTCTTGCTACATGCAGTGCATTCTGATATTTTCTAGTCCATTCTATTCTGTTATGTTCCATTTCACTAAAGAAATAAAAGTGCTGATTGAGACTCTATGTAATTGATTTTGTATCCACCAATAGGTTGTAACCCATGGCTTAAAATGAATGCTATAGCCCTGGCCGGTTTGGCTCTCTGGATAGAGTGTCGGCCTGGGGACTGAAGGGTCCCAGGTTCGATTCCGGTCAAGGGCATGTACCTTGGTTGCAGGCATATCCCCAGTGGGGGGTGTGCAGGAGGCAGCTGATCAATGCTTCTCTCTCATCGATGTTTCTAACTCTCTATCCCTCTCCCTTCCTCTCTGTAAAAAATCAATAAAATATATATAAAAAAAGAATGCTATAGAGCCCTAGCCAGTTTGGCTCAGTGGATAGTGGGTTTTCTTGCAGACTGAAGGGTCCCGGGTTCGATTCTGGTCACGGACACATGCCCGGTTGTGGGCTTGATCCCAGTAGAGGGCATGCAGGAGGTAGTCAATGATTCTCTCTCATCGATGTTTCTCTCCCTCTTTCTGAAATCAATAAAAATATATATTAAAAAAAAGAGTGCTATAGAGGGATGTACTAGTTGCTAAAGAAAACCTAATGTGTTCTTGTAACAGGCTTACCACTGGTGAACGCTTTGCACCCCAGCTCTTTGCCAGTTTTCTGGACTTGTCCTTCAGAGGCCAGCTGTCTTATATCACTTAAGACCTTGGACTTCATGGATTCCTAGAAGGGTTGACATCACTCAGGGTGATTCTAGAACACAGCCCCACCCAATGCAGTGGAGCACCTCCTAGTCAATTAGAGCCACTTGAACATAGATCACATTTTCCAGAGAGTCCAAGGAACTCTTCCCATATAGTTCTGTAGAATTTGAGTCTTGAGTTTGAAAATATTAAAAGATAATTCTACTTATTTTAACAGGATCTGCCCCTTTCTAATGTGCTTTTGAGTTGATATAAAATCCTAGTCTTGAGGGCTGATTGGTGTCTTAGAAGTCATTAACTCCAGCCTCTCTCAGAGCTAGAGTCTCTGCCATATTGTCCCTGGCCTGTTCATTATTAATGC